AAGCTTAAGGAAATTGCCTTCCATTCTCACTTAACTGAGTGAGAAATTTTATGATCAACCAATGCTGAATGTTTTTAAATGCTTTTTATGTATCTCCTGATATGATGACTCCCTTAATTCTGTTAATACAGTGAGTTATAGACATAAGCTTTGGAATGTTGAACAAATCTCTCTTCCCTACATTTAACTCTACTAGGTGGTGAGATGTTATTCTTTCTATATTTTCATGTACTCAATTTGCTGATATGTTTTTAAGGAGTTTTGCATCTATATTCATGGGGAATATAAATCCATAGTTACTTTTTCTTTAAATGCATCTCCCAAGTTTTGTCATTAGGATTATTGTGGCCTCATAAAACAAAATGAGGACTGCTTTCTGCTTCTCTGTTTTCTGAAAGTATTTATGTGATAGTATTATTATGCATATTATCATTTTATTATTCTACCTTGCATGATTGGTAGACTTCACCTACAAAGTCATCTGATATATGATTTGCTTTTTTTGGAAGTTTTTCTTGATGAAGAATTCAATTTCTTTAATAAGTAGTGAAATATTCAGATTTTCTTACTATCTTTTCTCAATGCAAGGAAGCTGTATTTTTGAAGAAATATCTCTCTTTTGGGGTGCCTGTGTGGCTCAGTCATTAAGCTCAAGTTCTAACTGAATTGTCCACTCAGTATTTATGTAGTGCCTCTTACTGAATGGACAATTCAGTTAGAATCTCCAAATGGTTAGAAACATTAAAAGAGGGGCACCTGGGTGGCTCAGTGGGTTAAAGCCTCTACCTTTGGCTCAGGTCATGATCCCAGGGTCCTGGGATTGAGCCCCATTTCGGGCTCTCTGCCCAGCAGGAAGCCCGCTTCCTCCTCTTTCTCTGCCTGCCTCTCTGCCTACTTCTGATATCTGTCTGTCAAATAAATAAATAAAATATTTTTAAAAAGAAAGAAAAAAAGAAGCAAAGAAAGAAAGAGAAATTGTTGAAAGAGAGGCACCTGGGTGGCTCAGTCATTAAGTGCTGCCTTCGGCTCAGTCATGATCCCAGAGTCCTCATTAGGCTGCCTGCTGTGCGGGAAACCTGCTTCTCCCTCTCCCACTCCTCTGCTTGTGTTCTCTCTCTCACTCCCTCTCTGTCAAATAAATAAATACAACCTTAAAAAGAAATCTTTAAAATAAGTTTTAACATAAATTATGCAAGATTTATCACAGAAAGAATAAAACGAAGATACTACAAATAAGATGGTGAGAATATAAGCCACATGTGATATATTAAAGTGCTCTCTCTACAAGCTGAAGAGTATTTTTAAATATAGATCATAATGTCATTATTTGATCATTACGATATATTGTTATTGAGTTTTCTGTTTAATTATCTTATTAATGTGTTTAACTTCTGATTTTTAATCAAGAAATCTAATTTTAATATTTTTAGAAGTTAGAACGCCGCCGTGCCCCCCTCCACCTCAGATTCCCAATGCTCAAAATATGACAACGACGGTGAATTATCAGGATGGAGAAAAAGTATCTGTTGTCTGTCAAGACAATTATATAATTCAGGGTGCAGAAGAAATTGTGTGCCGAGATGGAAGATGGCAGTCAATACCACGCTGTGTTGGTTAGTAGTGCATAACCTGCTTTATAACATTCTTCCAAATGAGGTTAATGCTCCTCTGTGCTTTGTGTAAAGGAACAAGATGAAGACCTTTCTCTAGATCTGTTTCACTTTACCTCGAAGCAGTAAATTACAAACTAAGTATACACATCAATCAGAACTCTTTCACTTCTGTGAAATGATTAGACAACTTTGGGTTATTGTGCAAATACCATAGAAAATTTCTGTTTACACCTATTTTACTCCTCATAATGAACAGGACAAGAATGAAGGGGCGTAGCAAACAAGTAGATAATAGCACAGATTTTATGGAGATACATATGCTTGCAAGTTTCAAATGTTTTTCAGTGTTTTGGTATCTAATTTGTCCAAGTTATCCTTATTTTAAAACCCCAAATGGTATTTGATTGCATTTTTCAATTTATACATTGTATCTTTACTTGACCCTTTGATCTCTTTTCTTCATACAGAAAAACTCGGGTGTCCTCAACCACCTCATATAGAATATGGAAGCTTTAAATCATCTGAATCTTCAGAAGAAATAAAAGGAACATTGAAACCTAAGCTTTACCCACATGGCAGCAAACTAAATTACACTTGTAAGGATGGTTTCAGGATATCTGAAAAAGAGGAGATAACATGCGACATGGGAAAATGGAGTTCCCTACCCTGGTGTATAGGTGAGGACAGTACGCAAACTAAAATTCTAGTTTTAATTTTCAGTATGATCGATTAAACATAATTGTCATCAAAGTCATGAGAAAGAGTCCTTTAGGTTTCTAAGTATCTAAAATCCTTTATATCTGAATATCTAAAATCATTTATATAATCATGTACTTTACCAATTTTTGCATAATCAAATCTATCCCATTTTTGGTAATTTTATTGATTCGTTATAGAATCACTTTCTTTTTTTTTTGCGCAAAACATTCATTTAATCGTGAAATGTAGACAATCAGAGATAGACAGATGTAACGGTATCAAGGAAAAGAGCATACCGAGACTCTTCCACTTTTATTACAGGTTTTGACAATGAGAGCTTCATAAAATCTCATGAAATTCTATTGGCTATACAATAAACATCTACTTCTGAGTAGGAGACATATGCCATATTACAGCAACCATTTTAATATGTAAAATAATTCTGATTCTTACTATAAAAATATTGGCTAAAATATGAAACATCTTTGCAGTAAAACTGATCATGTAACTTAAGATTTCAGAAATGACTCCTGGAAAAAATTGGGAATGCTTCCGTTCACCAGATAATTTCTCAACAGTGAAACTTAAGGTGACATAAATTAGACAAAGCTAGAAAGCAAAATCATCTTACTAGAAAAGAGCAGTATGCAACATGGACTTCCTCCTTGACAAACAGACAACCACGTAATGACAATGACTTATTATATATACAGGAAAAAGAGAATACATTCTTCAGGAGGAAACGATACCACAAGATAATTCTTATAAACAATCTTCTTCTTGAAGTCTTGAACAGCTTCAGAGAATGTCTTCACAAAATAGGCAGAGGCAATTCACATGACATTAAAGGATTCTTTTATATTGTGACACTCTCCTTAAATAGAAACACAATTCAAAGAGAAACACATTGTAAAACTCTGATTCTCTTAATCAAACATTTGTTTACTGCCACACTCAGCTATGAGCAGCATTTGGATGCAAAGGTTTAACTCGTGCCAATCTGGACAAGCCACAGTGGAGACTCTGATTTGGAGACTTACCAGACACCCCTGCCAGTGGGCTCCTGTTGCTCTTGCTGCTTCCAGATGTCGCTGGTGGGACCCACTTAGGTTTTCTGCTTTCAGCTGAAGGGCTGCGTATTTGTAATGGTTTCCTAGTGGCCTCTGATGAAAGAGAAACCTTTTTTGGTGAAGGCTGAGATTCTGATTTCACAGCAGCTGGAGCAGAATCTCTAAAGTCACCAAAGTATCATATCGGGATTTACGTTTCTTCTCCTTTTTCTCAACTAGGGATTTTACCTTCACTTCTTTCTTTTTAATTTCTTTCGCTTTATTTTTTCCCATGGTGAAGTCTTCGTCATCGTCTTCACTCTTACCAAAATCAGAGTCATCCTCAGACTCTCCACCAGTTGCAGAGTCTGGTTCAGGCACTGTTGTCATCACTGCCTTCCAAAAGAATCTTCCTCTGTTGTACCACAGCTTTTGATGCTGCTTTTCTTTTCCCTTGAGCACCGTGCAAATCATCTTCCTCAGTAATCTTATCCAAATCTAAACAATCACCGGCCACACTGCAATTAGAGATATGGGGAGACTTAGTCACTGTTCTGATTCCGCTGCTGCCACATTTTTCGGTGCTTTTATCTTGAGCCTCTTCTACCTCAGTGGTGACTGTTGGAAGTTCCTTCACTAATAAAGCTAGTGCGACTTCTAAGTCTCGCTGGTACAGCTTGTCATCTAAAGCCATCCTTTTTTTAGGTGTTTTCTCTTGTAGTGGGGTATCTTCTTTCTGGAGATTCTTCAGCTTGGGTTTCCTTGTTTCTAGTTTTAACTCCTTTGGTGTTGTTCTGGGTTTCTTATTTAAAAGTGCGGTTGCAGAAACAAAGTCATTATCGCCGTCAGAATTCTCAAACTGTGAGTAATTGATTGGTTTCTTATGCCTCACAGGCCGCACCGTGATCCCCTCCTAGTACCTATTCATATAGGTATGCCTATTCATATTCCGACCTATTTATATAAGTTGTACATAACTTTTGCTTTGCTTTGCCATCAGCTTTGTGTTGTTGTTGCTTTTCCTATCACTTTCTTCCTGATTTCTTACAATATATGGTACTAATCGTAAGATGATTAATTCTCAATGCTTTCTTTTTGTTATTCACTATAATGGTTTAAGAAGTACTAACAGTCTCTTTCATAAATATGTTGACATTTTTATTTTTTATTTTATTATTTTTTAAAGTTTTCACTGAAATTCCAGTTAGTCAAGGGGATTGAGGAGGGCCCTTTGATGAGCACTGATTATTCTATGGAATTGATTAATCACTTAATCAGTATAACCCTGAAACTAATATTACACTGTATGTTGCCTAACTGAAATATGGTATTTGTCTTTCTCTGGTTTATTTTACTTAGCATTATAGTCTCTAGCTCCATCTGTGTTATTGCCATTGGCAAGATTTCATTTTTTTTTTACGACTGAGTAATATACATACTACCTTTTCTTTTCCTTTTTTTGCAATTTAATTTAATTTTCTTTCAGTGTTCCAAAATTCATTGTTTATGCACCACACCCAGTGCTCCATGCAATATGTGCCCTCCTTAATACCCACCACCAGGCTCACCCATCCCCCCACTCCCCTCTTCTCCAAAACCCTCAGTTTGTTTCTCAGAGTCCACAGTCTCTCATGGTCTGTCTCCCCCTCCAGTTTCCCCCATATTCCTTCTCCTCTCCATCTCCCAATGTCCTCTGTGTTATTCCTTATGCTCCACAAGTAAGTGAAACCATATGATAATTGACTCTCTCTGCTTGCCTTATTTCACTCAGCATAGTCTCTTCCAGTTCCATCCATGTTGATACAAAAGTTGGGTGTTCATCCTTTCTGATGGAGGCATAATACTACCTCTTCTTTACTACCTCTTCTTTATCCATTCATTTATCAGTGGACATTTGGGCCGTTTCCATATCTTAGCTATTGTAAATAATTCTCCTATAATTATCAGGGTACATGTATCCCTTTGAATTAGACTTCTTGTTTGTTTTGGGTAAATACCTAGTGGTGCAAATGCTGGTTTACAGGGTAACTCTATTTTAACTTTCTGAGGACTCTCCATACTGTTCTCCAGAGTGGCTGCACCAGTTTGCATTCCCACCAACAGTGCAAGAGGGTTTCTCTCTCTCCACATACTTACAAGCACCTGTTGTTTCTTGTGGGTTTTTTTTAATTTTAGCCATTCTGACAGGTGTGAGGTGGTATCTCATTGTGTTTTTGATTTGTATTCCCCTAATGATGAGTGATATTGGGCATCTTTTCATGTGTGTTGGCCATCTGTACTCTTCTTTGGAAGAATTTCTGTTCATGACTTCTGCCCATTTTTAATTGGATCATTCACTTTTTGGATGCTGAGTTTTATAAGTTCTTTCCATATTTGGATACTAACCCTTTATCAGATATTTCATTTGCAAATATCTTTTCCTGTTCTGTAAGCTACCTTCTAGTTTTATTATTTCCTTCACTGTGCAGAAGCTTTTTATTTTGATGTAGCCCCAATAGCTTATTTTTGCCTTAGTTTCCCTTGCCTCAGGAGACATATCTAGAAAGAAGCTGTTACAGCTGATAATATACTGATTTTTTTTAGTTTCAAGCTCTTGCTCAGGTTGCCAGCTGGACACACATCAGAGTGGTGGTTTTAGGAAGCATTTGTGCACCTTTTCTGTGTTATGATCATAGCTCCTGTGTTACCACTTCTTTTCAGATTAGACTGCCAAATATGGCCACCAGTACCTAGAATGAAATTGCAGAGTTAATGAAATATGGAATCATTCTTTCACTTTTTTTTTTTTTTAGGGCTTCCTTGTGCACCACCAGAATATGTGGTTCCACATAGTCTTCCTCTTCACAAAGCAG